AAAGAGTTCCTGGTGGATTTGAACTGCTGAACTTTTGGTTAGCAGCCAAGATAACCACTGCACCACCAGGGCTCCAAACCAAATCCGTTGTGGTCGAATCAACTCCTATAAGACAGAGTAGAACTGTCCCAAAGGGTTTCCGAGGAACGGCTGGTGGATTTGAACTGCCTACCATTTGGTTAGCAGCCTCAGGGCTTAAGCACTATTCTACCAGGGCTCCAAAATGCAAATCAAAACTTCACTGAGATACCATCTTACCCCGACATTACTGGCCTAAATCAAAAAAACAGAAAATAACAAATGTGGGAGAGGCAGTGGGGAGAATGCAACTCTTATACACCGCCAGTGGGAATGCAATATGGTACAACCATTTTGGAAAACAATACGGCTCTTCCTTAAAATAATAGAAATAGAAATACCATGAGATCCAGCAATCCCACTCCTAGTAATATATCCTAGAGAAATAAGAGCCGTCACACGAATAGACATATGCACACTCATGTTCATTGCAGCATTATTCACAATAGCAAAAAGATGGAAACAACGTAAGTGTCCATCAGCAGATGAATGGATAAACAAAGTATAGTACACGCACGCAATAGAATACTATGCGATGATAAAGAGCAATGATGAATCTTCAAAACATCTTACAACATGGATGAATCTGGAGGGCATTATGCTGAGTGAAATAAGTCAATCACAAAAGGGCAAACACTGTATGAGACTGCTATTATAAAAACTCATGAAAAGATTTACACGCAGAAAGAAACAATATTTGATGGTTACGAAGGAGGGGAGAGGTGGGAAAAACACTAACTAGGCAATAGATAAGTGGTAACTTTGGTGAAGGGTAAGACAGTACACAGTACTGGGTAGGTAGGCACTACTTGACCAAGGCAAAGTCATAGAAGCTTCATAGACACATCCAAACCGCCGAAGGAATTGAGTTACTGGGCTGAGGGTTGGGGACCATGGTCTCAGAGGACATCTAGCTCAACTGGCATAACATAGTTTATAAAGAAAATGTTTTACATCCTACTTTGGTGAGTAGCATCTGAGGTCTTAAAAGCTTGTGAGCGGCGATCTAAGATACATCTACTTGTCCTACCCCATCTGGGACAAAGGAGAATGAAGAAAATCAAAGCCACAAGGAAAGAATAGTCAAAAGTCTAATGGACCACAACTACCACAGCCTCCACCAGACAGAGTCCAGAATAACTAGATGGTGCCCAGCTACCTCTAACAACTGCTCTGACAAGGATTGCAATAGAGGGTTCCAGACAGAGATGGAGAAAAACGTAGAACAAAATTCTAACTCACAAAAAAAGACTAGACTTACTGGTTTGACAGAGACTGGAGAAACCCTGAGAGTATGGCCCCCGGACACCCTTTTAAATCAGTACTGAAGTCATTCCTGAAGTTCACCCTTCAGCCAAAGATCAGACAAGGGCTTATAAAACAAATAACAACACACATAGTTCAATCATGTATATAAGACTAAATGGGCACACCAGCGTAAAAGCAAAGACAAGAAGGCAGGAAGGGGCAAGAAAACAGGACAAATGGAAATGGGGAACTCGAGGTCAAGAAGGGGAGAGTGTTGACACATCGAGGGGTTGGCAACCAATGTCACAAAACAATATGTGTATTAATTGTTACTGAGGAACTAATTTTCTCTGTAAACTTTCACCTGAAGAACAATAAAAATAAGAATATGTCAATAATTCTGAGTCAGGTTTTAATTTAAACTTCTATTTGCTTCTTTGTATGAACTATGAGCATAAGCATGCAGTGAAAGGTCAGCACTGGACAAAAATGATAAATTTGAGCCATTAGCAACCATGACTGGGAAGAGGCTGGTAGGTGCTGTGTTCTTGGCTGGCCCAGTGTTCTCGGGTGAAACCAAGGAAAGGAGTGAGCCACTGCAATGAGAATGTCAGCGCTGGCCCCTCAAAAGACAGTTCATGCTGCTGATTTCATTGTGACTTTTTAACAATGACAAAGGGTATTTTTAAATGCATCTGATCAAGATATGATGATTTATCAAGGGACAAAATTAAAAATAGGTATAATTTTAGTTTACATTAAAAAAAAAGCAGTTTTTTTGTTTTTGCTTTTTTAACCAGGAATTAGACAGTTCATTTGTGTGGCACACTTTAGTTTTCTGCAAATGCTTTAGTCACCCTTGAGAAAGCCCCTGAATCCACAGACAAAATAGAAAAACCCAACAGTAACCTGTCATTATTTACGGATATGTAAAATTTTATGGAAATTTACGTTTTTAAATAAACGTAGACCTATAAGCAGCAAAAGAGTATATAGGCTTCTGTTATCCTGGTCTTTGGGAATCTTAAAAACACTATAGTTCTACTCTTGTCTATTCGAAGAACTTCTATATACAGACACCTCAAATTCAGTTTAGTGGGCAATTTGTACCGATTAAGCTCACTAAGCAATATTACCAAAACTTCTCGAACAGGTGACAGCTAATGCCTACATGTTTTCTCACAATAGCCTCCTACAACTTCTCAAAAATAAACTATTTGGCACAGTATATTGTCCTTTCACCTTTTCATATTAACCTTATATTGAATCCAATTCTCTCAAACTCCCTCTTATTGTTTCTTTTCGCCTTTTCCCAGCTTCCTGCAAACTCATTAAGGTGATATAAGGGGTTGACAACAAAACTCCACTCAAAAAATTATGTAACAACTTAAATAAAAAGAAGTCAAATTAGAAATGCTTAATAAAAATTTTAACAGAATGCCATAACACCATCCGTTCTCCTATAGTGGTTAATCTCCAGTGGCTATTCTCTCTATGGATCCTTCACTTTAAAAAGGGAACTTCACAAGAGCGAAGGTCTAATCTGTGCTGTGCACACTGCGAGCATCCAAAGTCTACCTGCTCTCAGTTTCATGAAATGAATGAGTATCTCATGTTCTTGAGTAGTGTTGTCAATATCAATTCCAATAGGTTTAAAATGACATTTGCCACATTCTCTCTTCCCAGTTTTAATGATAATAAATAATCACTGCCAAAGTGCCTGGGGCCTATGGTGAAAGTCGCTAAGAGATCAGATCCACACCAGCCAAATAAGGCTCACAGAGCATAGAGTTTGAACTACTGTTCAAACTTATCTAGAAGGCACAGCTCTGCACAGTTAGAAGAGTTATGCTACTTTGCATAAGAAATAATACCTATATATTTTTTAAAGGCAAATTAGTTCCGTCTTTTGCATGCTTGGCAAGTTACTGACGTAGTCTTTAGTTGAATTAAGACTGACTTTTCCAACTAATAGCACAATGTCTTCCATTGTAAGGTCTGTGCCTTGTCTTGAGGACCTGTAGAATACCAGTCCTCAAGTATGGTTTCTAATGCGGCTTCTCTTTTACAGGAGCCTGGAACCCTAGTGGCAAAGTGGTTAAGAGCTCTGCTACTAAGCAAAAGGTCAGCAGTTCAAATTCAACAGCCGCTCCTTGGAAAGCCTATGGGGTAGTTCCACTCTACCCTCTAGGGTCAGCTATGAGTTGGAATGGACTCGACAGCAACAGTTTTTTGGTTTGGTTTTCTTCTAGTATAGTGTCATTTAAAATAATGGAAGTACAAAGACTCATAAAAAGCAAAGTAAGAATAAGTTAAGAAAAATATTGGTGAAGTGATTAGATAGGTTAAATGGACATAAGAGACAAAATTTCAAATATAGCCCTCTGGATTTAAAGAAGTTGCTATTGCTCACTTCACCTGTCATGAAAACCACGGCTCATCTAAAAGTTTCCCATAAGATTCTCAACCCCCTCTTTAGTTATAAAATTTAGCAGCTTACTAGACACTATTCTTCATTCACTGGAGACTTGAGCACAGATCTCACCTTTCTTTCCTTAATATTTAACTTCTCCTTCTCTATGGGCCCCTTCTCAGTGTCATTTCAAAAAGCTCTAGTCACTCCCATTCTAAAAAAAAAAGTGCATATCCCTTCTATATATTTAACACACTATGGCAAGAACAATCATTTTTAAAATGTAAATCCAATCATGTGATTTGCTACTTAAATGCCATCAAATTCTTTATGATAAAATTTCAGTTCTAGTCCTTGTCTTGCTAGTGTTTGTCTTCCTAGTTCTTGTCTATCTCCCCAACCTATACCTTTGCACTCCAGTCTCTAAAGACAACGGACCTAGTCTAATTCCTTTTGGGCACTCTGCTTTTCCCTTGCTTTTGAACATGCTGTTTTCACTGCCTGGGAATTTTCCCTGCTCTCATAACCAGATACCATTCCTTCAGAGACCAGTTTAAATGTCACTTCAGCAGAGAAACCTTCCCTGTTTCACAGATAGATAAACTGTAATCTCCACTCTTTCTCCAAAACCTGTTCTGAAGGTTAAATTTCCCACTGCCATATTTTTGGTAACAATCTAAAAGTTTACTAAATATATTATCACAACTCTTATCTGTCTTTCTTTGTTCTCCCACCTCCATGACCCCTAGCCATTTTGGGTGGTAAACTGGAAGACTGCTTTTAGAAGTATGCAGAATACTGCGAACGAGTTCATTCAATCTTATCCTCAAGCTGTGGTTCACATCATGTTAAGCTGTCCTACACCAGTTTCTGCAGATATTCCACATATAATAAAAATATTCAAAGGCATAAGAACTAGAGCAACTGCATTTTTTTAAATCCTCTTGATACAATACTTCACAGAAGCAGTTTGTTTGAAGTCTTAACACTCTTTCCAAAATAGAATTTCTTTGAATTCTACTGGTCTGTATGTATGTCACACGACTAGAAGTGCTTTCAGCTCATGTAAAGCAAAAGTAAGAAGTTTTTCTGACAGATAAAACAGCATCAGAGAATGTTCAGAATGTTAGAATTCAAAGATCTAGGCAGAGATAACCACGTCTGAAGAAGGGAAAGCCCCTAGCTTGTCAACGAACTCAGACAACTGAAGGGTGAATCATAACCTTTCGTTTTCAACAGCAAAGCAAATAATGGCACTTACGCATGTCACCGAAGGCCCCCTTTGTCACTTTGGTGGCACGTAACACCACTACTGTGAACTTGTGGGAATACTGGTGCTCCACCTGGAAATAAAATGACAATGAATTAGAAAATAAGCTTCCAATATAGAATCCAAATTATTTGTTCTCAATGTTTCCTCGCAACTAATTACAACAACTCTAGTTGAAAATAAGCCAATATGCATACCAGAAACATTCTTTGATCCTAAGACTGTGCCTTTTTTTGAGTCTCTCCTCTCTCCCATCCCAGAATCATTGAGAAGTTTAGATCATGCTGTGAGGTGTCACTACTGCTGGACTATCTGCACTCCTTTGCTGTCTGGTTTAGCAAGCGCTTAGGAAAAAATGTAAATCAGGACTTCAGGCGTTTCAGCAGCACAATCAGGCTTTGTACTGGTTTAACTAGGAAACCCTGGCTTAAAAAATGTGATGTCAAAGCAAGGTGTTTGCATTATTTGTGTTTGTTTTTGTTGCTGCTGCTCAAGAAATCAATCAATCAAAAGTCTTTTTTCCTTTTTTTTTTTTTTCTGCAAGACATCTCCAGGGTGGCTGTCAAAACCCACTGGACAATAAACAAGGCAATTACAAGCAAACTTTTCTATATTTAGCTTTAATGCATTTGTTATAAGCCATATGCAACAATGCTAAAAGTTTCTATTAGCCTAATATCTACCATGCACATAATCAATACTATCTTAATGGATAGAAGACTTTATTAAACACCTCACCGAACCGGTAATCAGTTATTCAGCAACGCTAGCCATTAAAACAGAAGGGGGAAGCAGGAACTCACACCTATTTCTCTGAGCAACTGAAAAGGTCACAGAGTCTTTCACTAAAGTTCATGCATTCTTTTTTTAATCGTAGGAGAGACACACATTCAGAAGCTGCTCGTATCTCACTGAACTTTAACAGGCTTGTCTCAGGATCAAAAGTCCACCATTGACTGAAAGAAGGCTTAGATACTGATAACACTAAGAAGTGAGGGTCGACAGTTAAAAGCAAGGGGACAGAAAAAATTGTAAATGACTCTCATTCAAGTTTATTTTCAAAGAAGACTGTCAACACTCAGAAGAGTTATGAGTAGCCAAAGTTTTACTCTACGTAAATAAAATTATCAATCATAAAAAAACATAAAAACCAAAAAATCTCATTGGCATCGGGTCGATTCTGACTCATGGTGACTCTAAATGTTACAGAGTAGAAATGCCCCATAGGTTTTTCTAGGTTGAAATCTTTACGGGAGCAGACTACCAGATCTTTCCCCCACAGAGTGGCTGGATGAGTTTGAACCACCAACCTTTCGGTTAACACAAACCATTTGTATCACCCAGGGATCCTATGAAAAAACATAAATGCTAAAAAAAAAAAAAAAAAAAAAATGTTGTCTTGCACTACAGCTGAAAATCATACATGCACTCCCTCCTCTCCGAAAAGCCTAATTAAATGTGATGACGATGGTTCTGAATAACTGCTATCTAACAACCCAATCATCATGCTTTAGCCACTGGGATACATGTCTGCTATGAAAACTCCATGAATGCTTTGTGTTAAATACGCCTGGTTAAAAATATGTCAAATATAAATAATGGACCACGCTGCAAGGGGCGCAAAATTATTTTGAGTGTTTAGGTTAATCATCAACTCTCTTAAGCCTTGAGGCAATACATAACACACGAAGGTGTCAAATAATACTTGGGCCTGAAAGACAGTGAGCAAATGCCCTAGAAAACCCAACTTAGGGGTTAGCTTTCACCACTAAAGAGACTTTCTCATTAATAATAATTATGTAAAATAGTGCACCCTTCCGAAAATCATTTATGCTTTTTTTTTTACCACATCCTAGAATTTCTAATACCAAATAGGCTTTCAAATGCCTGAAAATTTCCTTGTAAAATACATATTAGTAGTAACCCTCTTCTCTATTATTTGTCACTTGATTTTGAAATTGCTATAAATACATTCTATATCAAGTGATGGTTATTGCTAATAACATGTAAAAAGAGTTTATATTGTTACTGTTATTATTATTAAGAACTTACGGAGTATGAATTGTATGTTAGGCATTTTACCAGATGCTAATTCTCATTTAATCTTCCCAACAACCCTATAAGGTTGTTATTATTTATATTTATAGCTCAGTAAACTGGGATTCTCTAAGCAGTTTCCCAGAAGCACGCAGATAGTAAATGGCAAGCTTAGATTAGAATGTAGTCTCAATGTTGTGATATATATATTTTTACAACAAGGGGGGAAAAGGGCAAAAAAAAATGCATCCTCACTGACCCTAGTGCTTCTACTCTTTCTGCATTACTTATACATAGATTATTAATAATACCAATCCTAATACCTTTAATAATAATAAAGGCTATTTTCATTTAATAGCTTAAGGTGGTATAGATAGCTACTATCTAGTCTATCTATCCTATCTGTAGTTGACCTAAAGTCCCTCTAATAATTGTATTATTTCCCCTATCCCATTCAGCTCTCCTTTTTATCTGCTTTTCTTTCCATCAGCCTCAATTTTGTCTTCTTAACTAGTACGAATGAAGTAGTTATGTACTGTTGACAGGAAATATGGAGCAAATCTACCATATTCTGTATTTTGATGAGGTAATTTTGGAAACATCATAAGTCTTCATATAACCTGTAAATTATTTTCAAAATAAAACCAAACCTGTTACCACTGAGTTAGCTGGTTCCAACTCATGGTGACTCCATGTGCGCAGAGTAGAACTGCACTCCATATAGGGTTTTCAAGGCTGTGAGCTTTTGGAAGCAGATCATCAGGCCTTTCTTCTGAGGAGACTCTGGGCGGGTTCCAACAGTCAATCTTTCAATTAATAGTCGAGTGCTTAATCGTTCGTGCTTTTCACAATAAGAGCATCAAAATCTGTGCTTATCTCTTTCTAGCAGCTGTAAGGATTAATAGGAGAATATCTATAAAGTAAAGGGCCCTGGTGGTGCAACAGTTAAGCACTCAGCCGCTAACTGAAAGGTTGATGGTGCGAACCCACCCAGCTGCTCTGCAGGAGAAAGACCGGGAGCTATGCTCCTGTAAAGATTACAGCCTAGAAAGCCGTATGGAGCAGTTGTACTGTTACATGGGGCCATTATGAGTCAAAATCAATCGGATGTCACCTAACAACAACATTTGCAAATTAAGTACAAATTCTTAGAGAAAGATGTTCATATTCAATCAGTACTTATCCAAATATTCTGTGGAGAATGCCTTGACATGTTTCCTGGTGCCAATGTCACGTGTAATTTCAAACTAGTCCAGACCCAGACTGGGCTAGGTTCCAACTTGGATAGGAGGCTTTTGGTTACTTCTCAGGGATGGTGCCAGAGGAAATGATATTACTGAATCCACAACTAGTGCTCCCCAGAGGAAAATAAAGACTTGGCACAATACTAGTTGGTGATAGGCAGGTAAAGATGCCATAGTTCAACTGAGATTCAAATCTAAACCCAATCCACTGACTCAGTCACCATGGTTTTCTTCAAAGAGTCAAGCCTTGCCTTCAGGTCTTGGCTTACCTTACTTTGAATGTTCCTTCATCTATAATCTTTTCCCTAGTGAAAACCAAGATCATTTTTCTTTTCACTATCACGATTTCCTAATCATTAGGAAAACAGCTATTGTATTTGATTTATTCTATAGAATTATATTCACATATGTAATTAAGGGTATTGGGCATGGGCGGTGGGGGGAGTCAATTTGTCCCAAATCAATTTTTTTATTTGATGATTTTCTAATCTGTTTAAGTTCTATGGTCATAAAACAAGAACCAAAGAAATCATAAATTCTGATGGAAGAGAAGGTCGATTCTGAGTTCATATTTCTTTTGTCTCTATTCAACTGTCATTGCCCAACTTTAATCCAAATGAGAACTAAAGACTGATAATATGATAAAGACTACAGAATCTCATTGCTAAACCCAGAGATTGTGATCACCATAATCAGCAACAGCCAATTTCAAACAGATCTCAAAAATGTTTAAAGAAAAATTGTCATCCAAGAGTCATGGCCCGTTTTTTGAGAAGATGCTTGTTTTCAGTTTCCCTTCTTGGGATCGAGGTGCACTTTAACATTTAAGAGGCACAATCATTGTATTATCATTTTCCCACTTTTTTTCTAAGAAAGATCAGTATTATCTAGTTACAGGCTACAATGCTATTTAATCTTGCTTTAATAATTCTCATCTAATTTTCAAGATACCTGTTTTTGCAACAGAATTTGCTAGCTCTAGCAGGCATAATTAAAGAAATAATAATCAGAAATACATACAATTTCTTTTTTTTTTTTACAATTTCTTTAAAAATTAAAGTAAATATATATTACATTTTCCACTGCAGAAAAGAGATTTTAGGAGCCATGGTGGCACAACAGTTAAGTGCTCAGCTGCTAACCAAAAGGTTGGTGGTTCAAATCCACCCAGTGGCTCCCTGAAAGAAAGACCTGGCAATCTGCTCCCCTAAAGATTACAGACTAGAGAACCCTATGGGGGCAGTTCTACTCTGTCCTATAGGGTAGCTAAGAGTTGGAATTGACTCAAAGGCACACTACAGCAACAGGAAGCTTTTATGTCCTATTTTAATCAGAATTACAGGAACTACTGTAGCAGTGGACCCAGTACAAGGAAATAATATGATGGTAACAGTTTTGCTCTAAAATATTCATTCACCATGAAGTTATAGTGACTATAATATCCTCAAGACAAGTAAAATTAAACAAGGTGTTAACACCAAAATTACAATTAAGATATGGACTTTAATCCAACAGTAATTAAAAGTTTGGACAACATCCGTGATTTTTCCGTCTTTTTCCTACATCAATAATCCTGAAGAAATCTACACTCTCCTAGGAGTAGCTATGTCTGAGTGAACGGTGTGAGGCTCATATATATCTTCACCGTCCTGAACACCTGCACATATTAAAACACCTGCAGGAGCATGTGCATTTGCAAAGATTTCCCCAGGCAATTAACCATAGTTAATTGGTTTAGAACTGCTGGCTTAGATGATATATCACGTTCCTACAACTCTACACTGTCTTTGCA